AACCATGGAGGCACAAAACACACCATGAAGCATTTTGAAGGCTGGTACTCTACAACGCATTTAGTCAATTGCCACATCAAAGTGGACACAGTAACCACAACACCTCTAGAGAACGACTGCCAACTCGATCGATTGCAACTGACGGAAAGTGTAGCTAGACAACCAGAACTGACGGCAGACTCGCGCGGAAGCGCAAGGAGACAAAGGCCACGAAACAAAATGAGTCAAGGACAATGGTCATTGGTCCAGCAACCGTGCTGCAGTCTGATTAAGTTATAACCAATAGGATCGCTCGCATCTACGGCCAACTGAGGCAGTATAAAGGCGCACGCACCTTAAGACCATGGCACAAAGACCGAGGCTCACCTACGCCACTCTGCGCTACTGCACGCAATGCAAATGCGCACTGGTAACGTTACCTTGATTGGTGGCGAAATGTTTGCAACCTGAGCTACTAGTCTTCAATTCTGTAGGTAACCAAGTCGGGCCTACAAAGCTACAACTAACTGGTCGTTGGCAAACACTTTCTGCTAACAAGCTTGCACACGCGAACAGTTCTACATCCTTTAGGAAGTCCTGAGAAGGATCGTGCTGCCAGCCAGTACAAACTATAGGCCGGCGCTAAGCCATTCAGCCTCCTGGAACTTAGCACGACAATACAATAAAAGCATGGTCAAACTAAGGCTAACAGGCACCCACAACCGTCTACGCAAATATGTGAACGTCATAACCGACAACCGAATCAAGGGCCTCAGCACTATTGACCCATAGCTAGGAACAGCGCGTGAACCGGCAGCAGAACGTCGAGTAAAAACACAAGCATAGGACACAAAGTTATACAACCGGACTAAGGTACGATTTCACTAACGGGGATGGATGGATTAAAAACCTTACAATCTGCCACCTCACTGAAACTGAACAGGAGGTTTTGGTTCAGGGGCTCAACTTAACGTCAAAAATGCAAGCCCCAAACACTAATTGGCTAGCTCGGAAACCGCATTGCACTCATATGGACTGTCGGAAGGACCCAGTAACAGATACAGCAGACCGTTGTCCCAGTGCTTATTGGAAAGAAAGTCGCCCAGGCCCTAGCTAAGGAAGAACAGGATGCAATCAGACCTCTACAGAAAGACAAGAATATTGTGGTCCCACCATCAAACAAAGGGCGCATTACAGTGACATTGGACAACCTGGAGTATACCAACAAGGCCAAGGACGTTCTATCCGACACTACTACATATCTCCAGATGGAGCAAGGTCCAGTCTCAACTTTAGCAAACAAGATCAACACAAAGCTGCAGAAATTACTACAAAAGAACGAGCTCACGGCCTCGGAGAAACGGAGAACGGATGTCGCTAATACAAACGTTGCACTCTTCTGTCGGTTACCTGAATGTACACAAGGATTGTGTCCCACTATGACCAATCTTCTTGCTCCTCGGAACTACATCATAATAACTAGCAAACGTTCTGTGAAGGAGGTTAAAACACTCGGTTGCTGGATCTGAACATCGCATCCACAATGCTAAACAATTTCCTGACAAACTGCGGAGTGTCAGCCGAGAGGTGTTATAAGCTGCTTACTAGACGCAACTCCAAAATTAATATTTCACTGCACCACAATAATTCTACCTTAGCTGAAGGAAAGAGACAAAGCGCCGCTGACCTTGCTAAAATAACGTAATAATCGCCATCAACTAACACTGTTAAACGACTGCGGACCTTGGCTGTGTTTAGAGGTCTCTATTTACCGTTAACTTCTAGAATTGGAAGGACAACTGCCAAGGTTAATGGTTCCCCAAATCTTTTGCCGGGTGGCCAGGTGGAGTTTAATCACGTTTAGAAGAAAGACATTGCGGAACGTTCCAACCTGATGCGATAATCGTTAATAATCGATTAATCGGTAAAATAGTACATTTCCAAGGCAAGTGTTACTTTCTCCCGTACACCTGCCCTTCTGAGATATTGTCCGAGGTATAAGACGGAAGCCTAGAATTAACTTGCGGTCTTCGGGAAAGTGTTCTCGCCTGCCGGTGCACCTCCTCGGC